AGTTTCTAAACACAGGCAATAGTGACACGGTATATTTGAAGAGAGTACGGACAAAAATATGTTATTGTAACAATTAACAATTTATAAGTAAATACATTTCTTGTATTATTATACTATTATCAAGATACTTATCATAAAATAATATTACTGGCATCATAAATTTCTTTGATAATTTTATATAATATATTTAAATTGTCAATAAGCTTTTAATATTCTATTTTTCCATTTAAAATAAAGATTTATTCAAATTCATTACATAATTATCACTGAAGAAATATTACCTTATTATTAATATATTGTTTTGAATTTGTTAGCTCTCAGTGTTTGATTCTGAATGTTTTATAACTATGTTTTTGATTTCGCAGAAAAACGTTAAGATGATATAAATTATTGCGTTTGATAAGAGTTTTTAATAAAAAAAATACTCTCTGTAATTAATAATTTTTTCTACTAAATTATCCCTAAGCTTGGGGATAGCTGACTCGCGAAGGAAAAAACTTTCTGAGAATGACCGATGCCTGCCCCAGTTCTTCGCGATCACCTCGGAGCGAATATGCGTGTGCGCGTGCATGCGTGCTCCCTTTCTGCGTATATTCTGACCCGTCGCGTCCGAGAGAGGAAGAAATCCGAGAGTTTCTCTTCTCGTAATATCTCGCCTCCCCTCCCTCCCTCTCTCTCTCTCTTTATCTCCCCTTCGCTTTTACTGCGTCCGTCGCTACCGACGTCTCGTACCACTTGGCAAATGCTGGAGACGTGAAGTCGCCTCGACTGACCTTACTATTGACAAGGACGCCTTCCCTGATTTATTAAGCCTGGAGCGACGTAAGGAAATGAGCTGCTCGTCGCACGATAAATACCCCAATGGGGAAGAATTTACGCGGGAATAGGAACGGGTTCTCTCCTCGGGATTTCCGCCTAAGAAACGAAATTTTTCGCGTATGCCGTCTAGGACTAACACTCTGAATGCCGATGACACTTTGCTGGATTAGGATTTCAGTCTTGATATCAGGAACATAAATGGAGGACACAGAATAGCGGGAGATAGTCTGTCATGGCGAGCTATATATAATACATACGGCGGGAAATAGTGCCAATTGTATACTTTAAGTAAAGCGGATCAACTTCTAACGCGAGTTTGTAAATAAGAAGTGTTTTAAATTAAAAAGCGCTACATGTATAAAGAAATATGTATAAAGAAACTGATAATTATATATAAACTGGCTTGTGTCGAAGGTTACATTTATACGAATTGGTAGATTAAGTAGTGAAATGATAAATGAAAAGTGTGATAAATAGGGCTAATTTGTATAAAGGATTATAGGATCGCTTTGTGTGCCGACCACGTATGGTCGCACATGTTGACGCGCGCGTTCTATGGAGACGGACAATTTTCCTCTTCAATTATCACGGACAACTCGAGGCCGAATGTAAGCTACATCGTTTCCCGGGCAAAATGTTATAGTTCAAGGACCGCGCTGCGCACCGAGCAACGCGCGCGAGCGGGATTCTGTCGCTACGCGGCCGTAGGGGGATCCAACGCGTCGCGTCGCCCATGAGATTTATCGTAACGAGATAGCGACGCTAATTAATAGTTAACTCGGGGAGGCCAAAACGCGTTTTCGACGCGGCTTGCATCTCTGATTCGGGACGGACGGCACTCGAAGCACTCTCGGTGCTTCGAACCAATCGCGGTGACGGATGGCGTCAGGACTTGAGTGGCTTTACCAGAGCACGTGTCATCAGAGAAAGTGGTGGTTCAGCTTGAAACCGCTGGATCCATCGCTCAGTCCCTTCTGACATTGTTTAAAATTATAGGAATATGAATACAGGATAATAATACAGACAGTGAAAAATATTCATTTGGATATACTTATATATATAATTATATATATAATTATATATATAATTATATATATATATATATATACTACTAATAATAATAATAATACATATTATATACATAATAATACAAATTATAACATAATTATAGCAGTTAAGCATCGAAAAAAATGTTCTATAGAATAATTAAAAAAAAAATGTTTTAGAAGAATTTTTAGAAATGATAAATTTAAAAAAATAAATAAATAAATTTAAATTCTAAAAATATTTTAGAATTTATTTTTATAGATTTTTTCTTAAAAATGATTAATAAAATGTCAATTATCAATTGAAAGATTGAGCGATATTGAGCGTTTATATATTGGGTTATAGATAATGCGTGGGATTCGGTGACAAAAATGATTCCTTGAAAGGGTTTTCTGGTCCACTTCTGCTTAGTGAAAATGCGGAAACTCCATCATTTTAGTTTCAAACTCCCTAATCTCCAACATCGAATATCTTGCTAATTAAATCTGAAATTAAATTTCCGTTCGTACGCGCGCGAGAGTATAAGATTACATGAATATCTTGAAAAATAAAATTTGTTACCTATTTAACGCTTACGAAATTTAATTTACCAAACTATATTAGATCTGAGAGTTTTATAGTTAGTAAATAAATTAAACCCTAGTCATGATACTTAATATTTAAAAAATGTTATGACAGATACGACGACGTTTTATTAATTATGTTTATATTAAGATTAGATAGAAAATATTATTTATATACAGTTATTATTTCCAAGTTATCTTCATATTAATTTTGTATATTTTACTCAAATCATTTGTTTTATAGACCATTAATGTCCAGCTAAGATTTAAGATTCTGTCTTTTAGCATCGATTGTTCGCTTAATCAATAATTCCTGGAATAATGCGTAATACTAAATAGAAAACAACAAAGAGCACATACATACTATACGACGACATCACTAACGATCGTATGTGTAAAACATGAGCGACCGTAAAATTCCCAGAAGATCTTGACCAAGTATTCCTTAAAATAGGTCATCCAGAATGCGTAGGAAATTCGATGAAAGTGAAACGCGAAAGTAAAATGTCAAATTATACATCTTATTATATACTTACTATAGTCAAGGCAAACAGAATTAAAGATGTTAAATCAGATTAATATTAAAATGAATACTTATTTAAATTAATAAATTTAAAAAATATATATAAGATATATAAACATAATTAATAAAACGTCGTCGTATCTGTCATAACATTTTTTAAATATTAAGTATCGTGACTGGTGTTTAATTTATATTTACTAACTATGAAACTCCCTTAAGAGCTTTTTCAATCTACATTAGAGAAATTTTTATTTCTTAAATGCTTTGTAATCTATTTTGTTTATGATTTTATAAAGCACATTTTATTCGTGGTCGATATAAGTTTCATGGAAGTTTCACTTGGAAACACCTGCGAAATGTCATTTTCATAGGTATAGATGGTATAACAACGCATTTAAAACGTTTCCGGAAACTAGCTTAACCAGGTTACTTCCGAAATGTCAGAAACACGTGGCCCTGATAAACCGAGAGAAGGGGATACGACACACTCGAGTTACAGGTTACAAGGTTTATTCAGCACGTTGGGCAATTCACAGAACGGTGACTTCATCCTTCCATTGACTTCGACGACACCGGGTCGCGAATTCTCGGAATTGCACGCCAGTACACACCCCGTGTATATATATATGTAGTATATATATAGTACATAATAAAATCCGCATGGCCCAATTTCAAGACTCGTTTCGGGGAAACGCGGGTGTCCCTAATCTGGTCTTGGCTATCAATGAAAGGCTCGCAGTTCTTCTCGGAAGGCTTCGACTAGCTTTCCGTAATCGCGTGTGCTAGCCGTTCATTGATAACTATCGTCGTGAGGTATACACCACTAAATTCGTAGAATGACCGGTTTACGTTTTAATTGAAACCTTCTGTGAAACATTTCTTATTCAATGAAATAACAATACGTCAATTATAACATGATTTAATGCCGTCCTGATTTATGAGATTTTTGTCTTTTTTTTTTTAATATCAAAATTGATTATTATTGTAAACATGAGATTCTTTATAAAGGAGAGAGTATCTATTCCTCGTCTTCGATTAAGTGGAAAATCCCAGTTCGTCATCCGAGAGATGTGCTCGAGATGCAGCTGTAACGCTTAGCTGTATCTCTACCACTCGCGGGCGCGGGCCAGTAGTAGCATCAGTGTCGAGTCAGACGTCTCGGATGTCGGATCTCTCGCTGCTGAACTCTCGTTTTCTCTTTTCATTCTTTCTTTTGAAGAAAACTGCCGGTATTCAGTGGCCGATTTATTCATCCGGGCCATCATTTAAGGACATCTCTCGTCATGCCGAGTTACCAAAGGATCTTTAAATTGCTCTTCCGGCGGATTTATAGGTATTTATATATGTCATTCCCTCTTTTCTCCCGACATTTTACCTAGATGATTGCAAATAAGATCAATGATATAATAGATGACTTTATTGCTATTATTTCCGTCCTGCGAAAATCATCAAGTGTTTCATAGCGACGCTCATAGGCGCCAGGCGTTCGCATACATTTATGGCATGTCCCCTTCTCCTTCTCTTCCCTCTCCTTCTCTTCCTCCTTCTCTTTCTCCTCCTCCTCCTCCTCCTCCTCTCAACCCCAATGCCGGTGTTATGACTCCCTCACTCACCCACTCCCTCACTCACCCACTCCCTCACTCACATGCGCAGCTTCCTCGTGTATCTTTGGAAAGGATCACGATTTGAGAACTTGCCAACGCGACACTCGGTTTATTCCGGCCTGCGTCGCGATGTCGTGTTTCCTTCGATTTCTTTGCCGTTGTCTTTAGCTAATTTTCGCAGGAATGAATCTTGCGCCAGATAGATTCTCCGAAGCTTCTCGTTCAATGTTCTCGTTCGTTGGCGCCGTTCTCGCAGACGCTACTGCAGCATCCGGCAATTTTACGATGATTCGAATTTCTTTATAAAGAAAATATAATTGCTCTATCATAATAACATAATAAATTTAACTCTTTTTTTAAACTTTAGAAACAATAATTTAAAATATAATTATTTAGAAAACTTTTTTACAGGCAAACAAATTTTTATTACAATATTCGTACATAAAATTTTGTTTATTATTATAAAGCTAAACATTAAAACAACTTTAAAAGAGTTTATGTAATTAATTTTCTGCAAAATATACAGTGTTTTTAAACTTATAGAATTAAAAAATCTTTTAAAAATATCCACAGATTTTTGTCATGTACATTTAAAAAAATAATTTATAATTAATATTTTATGGAACAGAAAATTGAAATCGTGCATTCCATAATAGCGTAAATGTTGATCGACATCGATTGGTACATTTGCGCTTCGATCTGCGTGATGCGGGATTGTCGGTGAGTGAATCTTCGAATCGTCCGGTCGTGACATGGCAAGCGATTAATCAGAAAAACGACCTGATTGCGACTGATCGCGATCTCCAATCGTCGATTTACGATCAGGTCGATTGACGCAAATATTTGCTCAGTCGCGTTACTCACGAAAACACCGAGGCTCTTTCTTCTGCTGCCAAACTCTATGCGAGTTTTTCATATTTGCTTTCATGCAGCTGTAAGAAGTGCATTACTCTACGAAATATTGAAGTTTTGATCAAAAACTACTTTGCCGAGGAAGAGTTCATTATTTGATTATTGATAAAAATGGCTTGTACAATTTTAAAAAATTTTAAAAAGATCTAGGATAGAAAGAAGTCAAGTATGAAGTGAAATTAAAAAGTTATATTCAAATTTAATTTCCTACTTTATTATATTAAATTGTATTTTATTCTTATATTTTATTATGTTTAATTAAAATTAAGATTAAAATTAAAATAGGTTAATTATATTTAATAAATATTTTGTTGGATTTGTTGATACATAAATTTTGTTAGAATAATAGAATTTAATAAATATATATCTTTTTATTAATTTTTTTAATTATTTATTTTTTGAATTATTAACAAATATTTAAAGCTATTATTAAACTCAATAATCGGAATTTATTTTTATCAATTCAAATATGAGTAAAAATTGTATACATACTTATTACATTATTAAAAAATTGTTTTGTTAACAAGTAATTTCTAATTATCTTTTAACAAGATAATGTTTAATTATAAAAGTAATGTGAAAATTAATAAGTCATAATTATAATATTTAATGGCTAATACTTAATAATTATTAATAATAATGAGGATTTGCGACAAAAAATGGAGTAATATAAGATATAAAGAAAAGAAAACTATCGTAACTATCATTACGTTTAAAAAATTGGGGATCATCAGAATTTATTTAATATGAACTCAAGATCATATAAGTGCCGCTAATAACATTGTCCGAATAATAAAATATGCGGACAAATTTGATATCTAATACGACATAATGACACTAAATAAGACACTAGGTAATCAAAGATTCACGATTGAAGGATAATACGATGGATTCTCCGTAGAGAGCAATAAAAGGGATAGATCGTTGCGCGATTAGAAGACCAGGGGGGAGGGTCATCTAAACGAGCCTAATACAAGCCTACGAACAAATAAATAGCGTTAATAGCATCGTCCTCATATTATAGCTGTGTGTAAATGCATGGGGGCACGGGTAAATGTGCGAAAGAGGATGGGAAGAGGGAGGCCAACAGAAGAGAGATATTCCAGCCATAATAGCCGCCTACATGCTTCAGCGAAATTACCTTTCGATCTATTTGCCTCCAGAAAGCGTCTCGGGTTACGTCAGTCGCGCTAGCTCGTTATTAGCGAGCGTTTTCAGCTTGTGTGTTTACGATCAATAGATCGTTCGCGAGATGATGCATTGACTGCGAGAATCGTTAAAACGAAAAAATAAATAAATAAAACTGCAATAGTAAAGACTTCAGGTTAAAATCTTTTATTTTTAATTATCTAACGCGCTTGATAATTTCTATCACAACGTTTTCGGCGCTCGAGCCGTGATGATCTGTTGCGAGAACGCGTTAAGTGCATTGTTCTTCATGAATAATCGAAGAATAATGGAAAAATGGTGATAGCGGCGCACGTGTGTGCACTTAGGCGCAAATTGCTCTACGCAGTATTTCAGTAGTAATTCAATATATTAGGCAGACAGGGCGGTATCTGCAACTCCTTATTTCACTCACGGGCGAAAATAGGTTTGCACAATTCAATTTACCTTTCGTTTTGGTCTAGCAAAATTCGTACCTTTCCAGCCCGGCGGCGTGCTCATTCATCATAATATACACGGGAAGCAGTAACTACATTCCCGTGTAAGCTAGAGCGCTTTTCAGCTTAGCAAACTCATTTGTGAGACTACGCATTAACGAGTAAACTCCATTCTTGACTCAAGAACCGGATGTATCCTAGATCCCGGCGGAAGAAAAAAAATGATATGAAGGCTAGACGTGTGTGTGTGTGTGTGTATGTGTGTGTGTTCTCGCGTATGTATTCCTCGCTCGAGGGGTGAACATACCGGGGTGCGAGAGATGAGATAAGGCGATTCTCGCGCGAGTAAGTGTCTCGCACGTGCCGCTTTCACTCCCTCCCTTCCTCGATGGATAATTTATCGTCTCCCCTGCTCTCGTGCGCTATACTCGTCGTGGATGTCACCCTCTCTTGCTGTACGCTCGACTACGCCTCGTACCTGTCCCACTTACAACTTCGCGGGGCGGATATCCTCGGCGGGCCTTTCATAGGACTCGTTGGACGGAGAACTTTCGTTTCACGTCCTGAAAGTCTCGCCTGCCTCTCGGCTTGATTCCCGTCAATTACCGGCTTACACCTCCGGCCGTTTTGCGTCCACATTCGTCGACAAAGGAGCTCACTTCACGAAGGCCGCAGGGGATTTTTAAATGAAATTGTGTTTTGTTATGTTACTCCTCGACGATACACGGACGTCTGTTCTTTATACTTTTTTTGTGATGATTCCTCGACGAGGTTCGACTCGGCTTGTCATAATTCCGAATATATTCTTTGCTGAAGCAAGAAATGATGGCAGTGCTTATCATAATCGCACTCTCGCATCAATGTCAAGCGCTTGCGTTTTGCGTTTTTATAACTCTCTATTATCACTTGGGATAAATGATACAAAGTAAAAATATTTATTATAAAATTTATTCTTAAATACTTATTTAGTTATAAATGTCAGATTAAAGTCAATCAATTCTTTTTACGAAATTAGATATTAATTTTTCTATTTGAATAAAAGTATTTGTGATACCTTTTTCTCTCTCTCTCTCTTTCTCATTTAATGCCTTTCTAGAGACACTTCGGACCATCCGATTCGACTCTCGCGAGTTGTATTAATCATTTGGACGTCAAATCAAGCGCGGCGTGCACAATTATAGTGATCATATGATCGACGTATTCGAATTCAGAAGCATTTTGTCGATATATACTATAATCTGCATGCTTGAGAGTAAATATGTACTGTGCCACTCATAAATTCGCAAATGTGTCGGTTTTTTGTAGACTAATGACTCTCGCTTAAGAACGCAGGCTTTCTTCAAAATGCAAAATAATGGAATACCAAAATCTTCTGAAGATGACAGATTTATCGGAAAATAGAAAATTTTTGGCGCGAGTAGCAACCTTAATTTACATTTAATTCTTAACAGATCTTTTTCTCAAGTAAACTTTAACGCGAGGCATAATCAAAGGAGACGTGTGCTTAAAGATAAGGAGTTAAAGAAATCGATGGAGCAGATAGCGTCTACGCGCGTGATCAAACTTTTATTCAGCAGACAATAACTTGCAACAGTAATTTATTCGTATGATACAGGAGACTGCCGTTTTCGTGTTTTTACCCTAGTATAAAGTGCGTTTGCTTGCACCTTCCGCTAAGAGCCCTTGCTTCCGGTCGTATTCACCGGACACAAGGCACACTATTCATAATCAGATCGGAGCGAAGTTTGTGCACGAGAGAGGTCGCATGTCCAGGCGAGGAGTTTGTATTGTAACGATCTTACAAGTCCAGGAGAATGAATCCGACACAATTCGCCCATTAGGGCACCAATCCGTTTCTCGGCCAGCGGTCTTGCACTTGTAGGAGACAGTTAGTTAAAATAGGATATTTAACGGAAATCCCTTATACATATAGTTCTGTCCACTTAAAATGAAAAAAAATTTAAAGCGTGTAAATTTCTTATTTTATCGACGTGAAACTATTGTTAAAAAGATATTTATCATAAAAAATTATTACAGAAAATATGTAAAATAAAATGAAAAAAATAAAATACGGTTTGTATATCGCTTGTTTTGTAAAATTAACTCGTACAAGTTGTGGCTAGGATATTTTAATCTTCGAATTATAACGAGATATCATTCTTCAAGGAAGTCTCTCTCTCTCTCTCTCTTTCTGTCTCACTTTGCGTGCGCATGTGTATGTGTGTGTGTGTGTGTGTGTGTGTGTGATTCTTCCATTATTACAGACCTCGGCGTGGACTGAATATACGGCGACGTAATTATGACTTATTCTTGAGCGCAAAGGTAGAGTTATCTGCTTTCCCTCCGGCAGGTGTTTCAATTGCAACTAACTAAGATAAAATGGACCCTATAGCGATACGATCTTTGAGATTGATGCAAGAGGAAGCAGAACAGCGCCTTGCTTCGTACACTCGTAAAGGTTTATTTGTCCACATTCGCGAACGGCAACATACCTTCCTGAAGCTGCAACGCAAACGCCCACGACCAACGCGCGCGACGACATATGTATGTACATACCATCGGTCACATGTGCGCCATACAAGTACAAGGTGAGGAGAGGCGGAGAGCTACGTAGACGGCAGTCATCTTCGTCGTTATCGTCGTCGTCGTCGTCGTCGTCGTCGTTGACGTCACTGGACGAAATGGCGCTGACGTGACGTCACTGGGGACGCCCGCTACCCTCCGCACTGTTTCCCCTTGACGCCGCTCTTCGTTCCGCAACGTTCTGACGCCACCCTCCCCCGCGTGTGTTGGGGGATGCCCGGGTCTCGCTACTTGCGCGGGGTGGGGGCGGCGGCGACGCCGGCTGGGCGCCGTGACGGCCGTCATGGGGGTTCGTATAGCTACGATTTTTGGCTGTTGCCGTCGTACGGGAGCCGGCGACAGGAGCCGGTTCTCCGCGTAACGATCGGGCAAAGTTACGACGTAACCCCTCCTCCTCCAACCCGCTAATAACATGTGTATGGTAATTGATTCGATTGAACGGGAAGTCGAGCGACGGACACGGCTTGTGGCGGGTGGACTACTCGGCCGGAATAAATCAGATCTTCCTCGATCGACGGTTATACCGTGTTCCGCTGCTCCGCATCCGGATGCAATCATTGACGGTGATCACACGACACCCTTCGTCAGCGATGGTTGTAATCGCGGTGTTTTGCGCCAGAATCGATTGAGCAATCTGACTCTGTCATCCGAGTGTTTCGCGCGTTATCGAATACCGCTATTAGCGGTTGCACGATGGCATCCGATAATTCAAGATGGCTTGCACGCGGTTATGAATAGACGGCGCGAGATGAGAACGGTTATTTGGGAGTTACGACGGATTTAGAAATCTGTGCGAGCTCCTGAGGGGATGCAATTTCTCTTAATAATGAAATAACGGGAGGGTCTGCACGACCATAAATAAATTGATAATAATTGAATAACGATTTATTCGACGCAATAAATTCGAGGCTGCGGATGCAATATGAGCTTCAGAAGCAATAGTGAACGTGAATTGAAATGAAATGGATTGAATTGAAGCAAACCTTCCTTCAAAATTGAATATATTGTTGCAGAAAAATCGTGATATTTTATTAGAGCTCACGAATCAATTAAAGAAGAATTGCATCGCTCTAATACCAATGGTATAATAATTACAATATTGATAAGTTTATTTTATACCCTGTGCATTGATTTTGTGGTGAAGTTATCTTAAATGTAATTTAATATTGTTCATTATATGGGGTAGATGTTTACTCTCCTATATGCGGAATAAGTCGAAGGGCAAGCACGTGCGCTCCAAGAAATTAAGTCGATCGCTGAAGATTGTGTCACGTTAAAATAAGAGCAAAAAGGGAGGAGATTGATATTTTCCATGTATTAATATTCCGTGGATCGAATCGCTTTTCGAGCGAGTGTATATACATACATCTACATCCACATACACAAAACACACACACACACACGCACGCCCGCACGCACGCACGCACGCACAAAAGCGGCTAAGTGATTTCCTTGTGAAACGCGCACCTATGAATCTACGCGTGGCGGAGTCAGCCTCGCGTGTGGACCGATAACACTCGAAAGAATTTACATCTCTCGCGAAAAGGGAAAATAACGGCACGGCCTTGCGACGCGATGGACGGCGGCGTCGGTCACGTTGCCGCCTGCCCGTCGATCCGGAATCGAAGGTCAATTATTTTTAATGTTCCTTCGCCTCTCTTTCGTCGACTCCCGCCGCGGCTGGCCACCTATACATAAATATTATACACCCGATTCAAAGTTTGGCATTTTCAATCTGCCATACTCTTTCAGCTAATACTCAGATATTCTTGGCGAAGCAAGTTAAATATAATATTAATCTATGTCATCTTTTTCAATTGCGAACGTGCAAATAGGTAGAATTGTAAATACAATAATGAATAATTGGGCGGCAGTAGGATTGTGTCGATGAATTAGGAAATAGACATCGCAACGTTTATCATTTTACTGAATCATCAATTTATTGAATGTAAGCTCATATTTTGTATCTAAAGCTCCCTCTTTCGTGTAAGAGAAGGATTAAATATTTTTTTTCTGCTACAGTTGCAATTAAATTGCAACGCAAAGAATCATATTTCTACCATTCGATCTACCATTTCAGTCCGACGTTACTCCTGTCTTTTATGCATAAATTCATATTACTGTACCGCTAAAGATATTCGCCTCTCATTAGAAATGTGCATAATTAATGAAGCGGATTACCGGCGAATAATATAACAAATCGATAAGCTCTTATCCCGCGCAGACCCCGACCAGCTAGGGTCAAGATAGAATTAGTATTCTTCCATAAATCCTCTCTCGAAACTCTTTGAGAATAATTTATCTTGCTCCGGGTATATTCCAGGGGAACAAATATCCTTTTCTTTCATGCCAGTCACCTAAGATACTTCGACTGGCTACGTTTGTAGCTCTCGTGCTCGTTACTTCAATTAGAAAAAAAAATCAAGATCTTCCTTCTTTCTGCAAAACTCCATTGCACCGAGCAGTCTTTATCTGATTAAAATAGTTTTTTTATTCAGTTTGCTATTCTGATTTTTTACGACGTTACCCTTCCACAGACACACGTTGTTCAACTCTTGAACCTGGCACCGTTCAAGCTCATCATTTCGCCAAATAACGCCTTTTATATCGCTGCTTTTTTTTCTCGCTCACGGGTCAGAGGATAAAAATAGTTGAAAGTTAAGCCTTACATCATTTCTCCGAAGGCTATACTGAAATAGTTTCTTCGGAGTAAGTTTAATGCCTGTTTCCACGTTAAATGTCACCACGTTACTATGTCTCATCAATCTGTCCATTTCGTCAATCAAAATTACAATAACGTATTTATATTCTTCTATTTACAGATGGGAAAATTTTTGAAAATTCTTGAAATGAACGCGTTATTTAATTATCGCCATTATTAAACAATTATTATCACATTATTAAATGAAATGTTAATTTTAATCCCATAAGGATCATTAGACTTCGTAAACTCGTTGTATTCGGTAATTTAGTTGGACTTGGTAACGTTTTTGCGTAAGTAGCTTTTATATTATTTACGTCCATGTCTGCACGTTGCGGTTTTTTCTCTTTAGCCCCGAAATATTCACGGCTGAATATTTATGAAGTAATGGACAGATAAACGAGGGGAAAAAAATTCGGACGAGCTTCCGCTCGGCACATATTAATTACTATCGACGAAAAACAAGGGGCGTCCGGTAACACGAACATTTGGCACGACTCGCGTCTCACCGTTATTTGCTAACCGGCAAAAAACTGCACTCCGGCAGCGACGCGCTGCAACAACGTTATTGCATAAATCGCGATTAACCTTCGCGGGAGTTCTCGTTCCACATGCGGTAATCCGCATCTTGCAAGTGCAGGTCGCAGAACCATCCCTGAGTCTGCTTTACGATCGTGAGCGACGGCGGTCGCGAATATCGTCCCGAGGATATTGCATCGGAATCTGATCGTTGCAATATTAAATTCCGGCAATATCAAATTCGTAGCAGACTTGAATGTCCATTATATCGTATGTGTCCATATAAAAAATGTATTTAGTAAATTAATATATGAAATTATGTAGAAGAGAGAGATGATACTTAAACTTTATTGTTAAGAATTCGCTACAGAAGCTGTTGAGAAAAATAAGGTTACGTATGTAATAATGTAAAATACGATGATTTATTATAAATTCTGTAAGATTGGAAATTGTGCAAAATAATCGTGAAGGCTAATAAAGTCGATCTAAATTTTTGGGCGGGAGGGAAGTATGCATCTCGCTATTTTATTAATGCTCAACTTAAGCCCGCGACTAATCGCCGAAGAATTATACCTGTTGCTGATGTAACAATCTGTACGATCGCAATTGAATTCTTCCATTACGTATATTGCTCTACTTCACGGCGTGCGTCCTTGTAAAACGGACACACGGACGAGTCGGCGGTTCATTTTCGAGAGTAGTATTGATCCCACCGTTACGGAACAAACTGGATCAATTATTCTTGTCCTGTGCTCAATAATTCAACGTGGACGTTAGGCCGAAGCACGGACAAGCACACGAGCAACAATCGCGGCCTGTTGTCTAATTTTCTAATGTCTAATTTTTTTTGACATTTTATGCGAACTTTCTCGTATTTAATTTAGTCCTGGATATGGAGAAAAAAAGAAATACTCACAATTTTTTATATCTAACGAACTATAATTGTTTCTCGAGAGTTAAAATAAATTATTTTTGCAGTAATTAACACAATTGGGGCACTGAAATTCCCATCGTATTTGAAGATAGTATCTTTCCAATAATTTCAATGTATTCAACTCAATCAATATTCTCTTTATTGACGATGCAAAATTGGTCAGATGTTAAGCAACAAGTGACAAATCATGAAAACCCGATGTAACGGCACGTCTCGACTTCTTGAATGTTTCATTCGAAACTATTCCCGAAATGTGCCCTCTTATTTTTGACGATCGCGCCGCCGACTGTAACTATTATAATAATTTTTTGCGAGTTCTTATTCGGTCGGCGCCGTTTTGTCGGTCGGAGACGGCTGAAGAAATGGAAAAGGGTCGTAAAGCCGAAAAAAGGCGCAGTGGAAGTAGCTGATAAAATTGGCGGGCGCTACTCTCCGGGCGTTCCCGCGCTCGCGCCATCCATACAATTCGATTCCCCAGATACACGAAATCGTACGATCTTGGCGCCGCGCGCGCGAAACTTTTTCCTCCGAGTCGTTTCCCGTTCAGCTAAATGGAGCGTCGTGGCTACGCGACAAATCGCGAAACTTTATCTGTTATTGTATCTTATGCACAGGCTGTTTCTGAGCCATAACGAAAAAAAGTTTTCTCCGCAAATACTCATATTAACTTTTGGACTAAATATTTTTCTCTATAATCAAAACCTTCATTTTGATAATTTGTGATTAAAATTTTGATGTACTTAAAATTATTGTGAAAATAGTTACATGGAAAACAGAAACACTTATTTATTGAACGATATAAAAGAAGAGAAAAGAAGCTATTACAATATTTAAAGAGTGTTAGATTTTCGTTCAAATTTTCTTCGTGTTATACCAAATGAGTCTTCTGCGGAAAAATTTATTTTCAACTCGATATTTTACGACGTTGTTTGCCAGAGAAAGAATGGAACAGATATCGACATTTTCGAAACGATCTCGAGCATTCTTCAAAGGTTTATGCGGAACATCCCAAATTCAGCTAGGATCGATCGAGAATAGACTCCACCCCGGGTTGTGCAAATTCAGCATCAAGCTTTTTTTAGAACATGAGTGAATCTGTAGTGTTCACTGAATCACGTCACTAATACTTGACTAGAAAATTATCCCAATTTACGTTAGTTTCGAATTTTTTTTTGGAATTATTTAAGCTTTATCATTATTTCGATTTTTAATCTTCTTTGAATTCTATGTGAACTTATCAAATATCTAAAAACTTTTGAAGATTTGAGGTTTTTCTGACAGGACGTTATTATAAAGAAATAAAAAAATAAAAAATAAAAACGTATATCTATTTTAAAATGGGATCAATTAACAAGCTCAGTAAAATCAATTTCTCTTAACATAATTAAATTAAAAAATTTAGATTAGATTAAGTTAATTATTGATTGAAAGTATTTTATTTAAAATATATCTTATTTAAAAAAGTATTTTATTTAAAATAAAACGTAAAATATAAAATTGATGAAGCATCAAATATTAACGAAATTTAAATATTGATCAGATCTATCTTAACGTGAAGTGCTCGCGTTAAAATTAGGACACACGTAACGCTTCCAGAAGAAAATGTTTATCACAGATAAATAATAGGTCAATCTCTTTACTCTTTTCGAATCGAATGTAATATTACAAGTGTCACAATTTCGTCGCTATTGCGCGTACCGCATTTGGCGCATTATATATGGGAGCGAGGATGCAACGACGGGAGAATTCTTGCCATGAATTATTGCATTACCATGTGCCTTGATTGCCACTCACTCACCCACCCTCTCTCTCTCTCCCTCTGTCGCACGCGGAGAGGAACCACTGGGATGCATACGGGGCGCCTGTCGCAAAAGTCTCGGCTAATGCACTTAATTGAAGCCGGAGCCGCCGCATTATGCACCTTCGTCCGCCATTAACGAGCTGTTTCATGCAATCCCACTGAGCCATCGTCCGCGATCTGGCACCCGCCTAAATAATTCTGTCGAAATTCTCTGCATACTTTTGTGCATTTTTAGTGATTCGTGAATACGCTGCGCATCTTGAAAAGAAGACACTTTAAGAGCCTTGTTAAAATAAATTAATTCTTTATTAAATTAAGAAAATGATATTTTAATTATTTTAACGTTATATATAGTGTGGTATTATATATGATAAATTTTTAGCTGTGCCTTCACGTTGTATATTAGCGCTAAATGTGACCGTAATTTTGAGATTTGTTCAATACAGGCTGACGATTCAATAATATTTAGTTGTAATTAGGCAAAAATAATTTTTACTGTGTGACATATACTTTTCTCAAAGAAATAATAAAGTCTTTTATTTCTTTGAAGAAGAAATTTTTATTAAAAGTATTGATTTAATTAATCATTAAAGTATTATTATATCACATGTTACTGCCAATCTTATTTAGCCAGTGTGCTGACCTTTATATTAAATTGAATACCAAATGTTACATTTGAATGAGCTTGTGTCAGTTTATTGAATATTTTCAAACGGATAATTAATCGAAGATTATACAAATGTCGATAAATCTGATATGTTTCATTGCATTTATCAATCTATTTATAAATCATGGTTGACTTGATTGATAAACCGCAAATCGCGTTTTCATTCATCTCAGGTTAAAGTGTCGTTAGATAATTCTGAACTGAGAAACTGACTTTGCAGGATTGATTGTTTCGCTAGTAGGAGTCATGGTATACAGTTCACGGTATCGTTATTTGACGTATGTCACGCGAATAACCCCGATCGGGAGATTGCTCCAATATGCAAGCAGCCACTGACCTCTTTCATTCCTCCGTCTCGTTTCCAGGTTGGCAGCAGCGCAAGAGGCGGCACAAAGGGACCCTGGATACGCGAGCCAGTATTACGGGAGAAGGTCGAGGTTGGCCGGATTGAGGAGTGGTCTCGGTGACTGGACTAGCTTCGGAGGGGAGGTAAGATGACAGTTGCCGATTGTTGCCTTTGTCCCTGTTACCCTCGATACGAAACGCCGTGAAATCGTCCATCTGAATTCTGCAGCCCGTGACAGCTTTAGAATCAATCATCCACATCTCTGCAGTCGCGCAATTTCCCGAGAGCGATCCCTTCGTCGCGCTTGTTGCTTAGAAGTTTCTCGGAAAACAATTTATTTCGATGGGGCTTCGGTCGAGTTTGGGATTTGTCGCGAACTCGAGAAATATTTCAAAATATCGAAAATATTATACGGCGTAAACGTGGATAGTTATAGAAACGTATCTATACGATAAGTATTAAACGATATAAATCGGCGATAAGATTTTAAAGAAACGCTTTAAGTATTCTAAGTAAATTATATTATACGTCACTTTTTAAAGTTTTTATTCATTTTTACTCTCTTATTAGTCCGCTATTGGAAGTCTATTGTGTTTTCGAAGTCTTTTGAGCAGACCACCCCGGGCTCTTACAGGTACCTGGTCTGGTGGACATGGCGCCAGGCCGGGATCAGGGTGGAGGGGCGGGTGGCGGTGGGGGAGGCGGCAAGGGCACCACGTCGTTGTTTATCCTTTCGGAGGATAATTGGATACGGACGCACACGCGCTTCATCATCGAGTGGCCGCCCTTTGAGTACGCCGTCCTGCTCACCATCATCGCCAATTGCGTGGTCCTCGCCCTCGAGGAGCATCTGCCGAAGCACGACAAGACCATACTCGCACAGAAGCTCGAGGCTACGGAGATCTACTTCCTCGGGATCTTCTGCGTCGAGGCGAGCCTCAAGATTGTTGCCCTCGGCTTCGTCCTCCACCGCGGCTCCTACCTGCGTAACATCTGGAACATCATGGACTTCTTCGTCGTGGTGACCGGGTGAGAGTCGAACGCTTATTTGTCAGTCAAGTCTCTCCGTCCATTTCTGTTTTTTTTTTCTCCCCTTTCTATTCCCGGTCCCTTTCTCTACTCCCGGATGTTCTATCAGCGATCTTCAACATTTCACGTTCTTGAAGAAGTAAGACTTTCTAAGATTATCGATTATTTTTTATTGATTATTAAAGATGCCATAAAATAATATCACGATGTTTACATGAAAGAATAAGCGCGACTTTTCTGTTTGAATTCTGCATATTGTTACACATTCTCCTATATATACATTTACATAGACAACTCACATAGATATAGGACAGATCATTAATATTGATTATTCAAGAGAGACAAACATTGTTTCACCCATTAATTAATTTGCGGCCAAAGCGAGTGACAAAATAAACCTCTTTCCCTAATTACATCCTTATGAGGAAACAAGATGTTGGAGGAATCAGTTTGACTAACATTGCTAAACAAGACACTTTATGCCTTGCAGGCATAATTAGTAGCTTGTATCTAATATAGTAGAGAATTTTAACTTATTTTGAAGTCCTACGTGATAAAGGAATGAAAGATGCTTGTCTTTTCTTTCTAAAAATTGATATATTATTGCATTAAAAATTAATAATATATGATTTTATGTATAGTAATAGATTTATTCATAATTGATATATAAATGTTGATAAAAAAAAACGTGGTTTTGATAGCGGTGATGTTGTTATTACCTAATCTTTCGGAAAATTTTGGTTACCCTGGCAACGTAGTCCGGAAACTGGTTTCTCCAGCTATAGGAAATAAGGAAACACGTCAATCGATCAGATAGATTGGTCAGATAGATTCTAGAGTGATCCTTGGATTAGGTCGATGACCGTGTTCGCCGAAACAAACGTGGACGTCGACCTGCGTATGCTACGTTCCTTCAGGGTCCTCAGACCGCTAAAGCTGGTTTCGAAAATTCCAAGTGAGTCAGACAGAGTTCTGCGAAAGAGCAGCAGCGACTATAACAAACATCCAAAGAAAGAATTCCCGCCAGTAACAAGTCGAGCTAACAAGTCGAGCAGTAAACGACCAAGCCTCTCCCCTCCCTGTTTCCCTCTTTCAACCCCCTGTTCCTTCCGCGTTGTGTCTCTCCTGGCAATCTGTGTGCGGTTCTCAATAGTTACAAACATAGTTTTAATGTCTCTCCGGCGCCGAAACTTAGCTCGATATCCCTTCAGTTTCGGCCGATTCCGCTGCTTTAGTTATTCCTGGTACGACGTTCTAGTTTCTGGCAAGCGAGAGCAGCATCGACTTGAACTTGTCTATATATCTATACATTATTAGCTCCCGTCCTCCTAGTATCCTGCGTTAGCCTTCTAATTACGTAATATAACGTTTTTTATCAATCTTCGCTTAAAGGCTATGGGTGTCTTAGATCAGTTGACAAAGTTAGAGTTGATGATGGATAAAGTTAGCTCAGTTGATAAATCAATATTTGTTGGATACTATATAATTTATATATTTATACATTTATATATATATATATATATGAATTTTCTCTGTGTGTCTACGCTGTTTCTGAGTATCTTGTCTAGATATATATTCTACTTTCTTCATAGAGAACTTGCGCGAACTAGTGATATTAGATTTTATAATCAGTTTAGATCTATGCAATTTGATACATGTACACTTTAAATATACAGTTACACACAAATATATTGTTTACATATATGAAGATTCTTTGTTGAAAATATATTAAATTTACATATAATAATTAAATATTATTTTTGTGTTTAACATAAAATATTTTTTTCTATATTTTTTATATTTTTAATATTTTTTGTCGATATTTTTCAATATTTCTGATAACGATAATAATCGCTAAATGTGATGAAGACAGCTGTTACATATAGTTATATTTTCTTATACGACATTATAGAATATAGGTAAAGCAACACGTTAGTTTCTCTATATTTCCTAGATATTTCTAATGACTCTAATTCGTTCTGTATGCGTAGAACAGTGAATACGTAGAGAGCAGTTTTAAGCACCGTTAGTCGCCAATTTAAGATTGGAATTATTCCCTCTAAGTGTTAGGATCGTAATTTGTGCAGGAAGTCTATTTACTACTCAATAGTTGGTACTTTGAAAGTATGCTTTCTTTTTTAAACAAAGCGAACGACAAAGATAATGATTTGGGGCTCAATCGTCTTCAATTCCGTACGCCGAGGATGCGCACTCACGAACAGGTGGAAAATGGACAGGGGAAAAAAAAAAGAGAAAACACACACACGCACATGGATGTGATGACCCAACGAGTGGTGCCTATATTTAGCGATTATCTATCTTTAGCTACAGTTGCGCTAAATAATAGAGTCGGCTATACATTGTTAAATGGATACGTGTCCTAGAGCAGATAACGGTGTTCAACGGTTGCCGTTGCAACGAGCCCGTTAAAATCCGTTCCCTTATAGAAACTCACGACAGACCGGATCGTTGCTTTGCGAGTACCCATAATTCTAGAAGGTGATCATCCTCTTCCACTTTCCATCGCTAGGATTAGCTATTTTCGCTTTCGATTTTATCACAAGTCAGTCGGTTTTTCATTTATTGACCATTTTCATCATTAGCACTATTAATAAGTTTCTCCATTTACCGTTTGTAGTGCAGAATTCAATTGTCCTTTTAATGGAAAAGAATATGCCTTCGTAAAATCGCCTTCGTAATTAAAGCTTCAAATATATTTGTTGCATTTTTTATTTTATAATTTTCATTGCTTATGCAATCTATTTCTTTAATTAAAATAAATTTTTTTCAGAATTAAAAAGAATTTAGCACTGAATATTGTGGAAATACTTCCGATTCAGTTATGATTTTATAATAATGATATTTAAGATGTTTTTTAGTTTAGATTCAATTCTTTCTAATGTAAAATTAAATTATTTACTTTAAAAAGGAAGAAATAAAAAAATGAATTAATATATATTAATATACAGTACTTATTGTTAGTGTTCTTTTTTTATGTCATTTTGGTATTCAAAATTTATAAGTTTTTTTTGACATTTCTTCAAAGTTTATTAAATTTGAAGAATAATTGTTATGTTAGAATTTAGAATATAATGAAAAAATATAGAGTTTCAAATTCGTCTAGCAGTGTAAAATAGATCTAACACGTTTATATAATATCTTTTCTGGCTTGAGGCGGATCTTTTTTCGAAAAGCTTGTGCTTTTGGCGAGAGTCAGAAATACCTAGATAAGTGGCGGTCGATGACCGTACGGCGAACTGATATCTTCGAGAAACTAGCGTCGCGAGTTTAGGTGTGATTATAGCCACTATCACTAGCTCGTCTCAGCGTTTCACATTCTCCTAGACCTAGATATACAGTATTTTACATAGTCTAGAGAGTGTACGTACGTACATAGATACGTTTTACACGCCTACATACATCGATCCTACTCCTTTACGGTGCCCTTTTCAATAGAACATTGCCCTGTCCTGTCAGATCGTTTATTTTTGATATAGCATTAAGTTTAATAGAGAAAAATATGTTCCTTTAGGTACATCTTATAAATCAACAATTCACGATATTATTAGTTATTTTTATAATTTAAAATTGTCATTGCATACCAAGATATTTTAACAATATTTTTTTAAAGACAAGTAATAAAAAATAAATATTTTTTTTAAAATACTGTATTGAAATAAATTAATACAGCTACAAATTATATACGATCTCTTTTAAATCGACAATTTATACAAAGAATGTAGGAAGAGTTCGGAAAATAAGCGATTTATTAAATATTTGCTTAATCGCAATACAAAAATAAAATCTCCTTTTCTAAAGTTTAATTTTCATTTAAATTTTTAAACATTTTTTAAATTAAGTATTAGAGACCTTCTTGTCAAATTATAAAGTCCATTTGAGATTCACCACGCGGATTCTGTTGGACAGAGATTCTGTTAAAGATAGCTATATTTATATCCATTTTGCACTCTCGAGGTTTAATTCACAAGAGTTCTTTGATCTTCTACATATAAAATTTCTCCATCCGACCGTCCCGACAGCATTATCTCTCCCCCGGGCTAGGCTAGAGAGAACGCTATAGTTAACCATCTAGTGGACGTAGTAATAAATACTTAAGAGTGTAGCGTGAGTATTAGTGTAATAGAGTAGTAAGTAGTAAAGTGTGGCGGGGTGTGTGTGTTTTTGGGACAGGATCATCACGACGTTCTCGGCAGGCATGCACGTGGATATGGATCTGCGCACGTTGCGTGCGATACGCGTGTTGCGACCGCTCAAACTTGTCTCCGGCATACCGAGTGAGTAGCGCATCAGTACAGATTGGAAAGCGATCGATTTTTTGGGACTCGAAGCCGCTCGCGGCTCGAGAAAATTCAAAGAAGTTTCTTGCTGGAGGGTGGGGGGGAAGGGGGAGCTCCGTTGTAAACGAGATCCCGTGAGACCGTCGTAAATATAGCGCGCGAAATAGATGTAGCTCGTATTCACACTTTAAATCTGGCGTCGAAAGTTGTTTTTAAATTTCGTTATTTAAATGAATCTTACGTTCGTTTTGAATGCAATAAACGCACTCGATCGTGAAATTATTGTTGAGCGTATATTATACGCGACTCTAGATAAAGGTGTGAGCGCAAGCTAAAAGCACATTTAGCGTCGAACGTTTCATTTTGTTAAGTAGTCTGTTGCTGTTACGTGCTCAAATGAGAAAAATATCAGTTCGAAAAATGTTTCAAATGTGAGATGTATGTGTATGTATGTCTCTTTCAGATGATTACATTTGGCGCTAAACGTGCGGCAGAAATGTATTTCGAGAAAATTGCTCGAGAAAATTTACTTGAATGATGAATAATGGATGCCCACGACTCGAAACTTCGTCGCGTCTGAGATTTGGATACCTCGATGATCGAATACGATCCGCCGTCGAGAATACTTATTTCTTGAATAGTGGCTACATAGATTTTGGACAAGGAGCAAATTAACAAATATTACGAAGTCAAGTAGATCAGAGTTAGTTCAGTTAGTTTAATCGTATAATATATTTAAATATATTTATCTTTATCGCCCGTAAAATGCTTTAGATCGATTGTTCGTTTTATGTTAGTAGTATTGCTCAGATATATTAGTTACTACTCAGAGCTCGATGTTGTATTTAGATACGGCGGAGTTATCCTAATCCTTAGACGCAGGATCATTTCGAGTGGCATTAAATGCACATTTTATTTTTAATTGATTCTGAATTAATTTCGAGTTTATTCGATAAAATCTAAAATAATTTTTATGAGAATATTACAAAATCTGGACAATCTTTTTGACATGTAAATCGTTATTATAAGCGTCGTGAAACAGGCAGAATATTATTTCTTTTTTTTTTTACTAGAGACCGATATTGTGGTTTTCATCAAATGTTAATATAAATGTGTATATAAAAAAAAATCACGTGAAATTTCTCGAGTAAATGAGAGCAACGGAATTGCACAGAAGTTGTACCGAGTGGAATTCCACATCGATCCCGTCGGAACGGTGGTTGGGCCTAATTACTCCTCGGCAATTTTTTTTCCTTTGCAAACAGGTCTTCAGGTGGTGCTCAAGTCTATCATCAAGGCGATGGCCCCGCTTCTGCAGATCGGCTTGCTGGTACTCTTCGCCATCGTGATATTCGCCATCATCGGCCTCGAGTTTTATTCGGGAACCCTGCATAAAACGTGTTACAGTATAGAGGACATCAGTGAGTGTATTCGAAGGTTCAGTCGACCTTCCAGAAATTTTCGTTTAACACACACTGCTTACAATATCATCTGCTTTGTTGTTTTTTTTACATACCCTTTATTTACCACGCAAAGGAAATTAATGAGAGAAAGATCGGCGCGGAGAAACCTCGAAGTGCACGAAAATATAATTTGCGTTTATGACCGCTTAGAAAATATATGTATATCTGAATCTTTGGGCTTCTCAGGCGTGCCTGGCGTTGTGATGTGGCCTGAAATGCTTTACAATATTGAACATTGCAGATATAATCATAAAGGATGGCGAGCAGCCGAGCCCGTGTAGCTCCGCGGACAACAAAGATGATGCCCCGCCCGGGGCCTACGTGTGCAACGCGAGCATCTCGACGTGCTTGGAACTCTGGGAGGGACCAAACTCGGGCATCACCAGCTTCGATAACATCGGATTCGCCATGCTCACTGTCTTCCAGTGTATCACTATGGAGGGTTGGACTTCCATATTGTACTGGGTAAAGCAAGAAATATGTTCTTCAGTGTTAAAACATTCTTTTCTCTCTCTCTCTCTCTCTCTCTCTCTCTCTCTCGTTGTCTTTCTATCTGTTACCATATTTATCTTTCTCTCTCTCTCTCTGTTTTTCTTTTTTTTCTGGCTCGCTCTTTCTGCTAAAATTTCGCCCTCTCGTTACCGCGCACGATTTATTCCTACGCAGTGTGTCGCTACGCGAAAGATACGATAGCGTACGTTCTCAAATCTCTGTGCTCCATAGAATGTCGTTGCCCAATTTTGTCAATCCTTTATTAACCGCTTCGCGATTTAAGTGTCGTATTTTTGTACTAAAACTAAAATTCCTTCCCTCTCGTCAATTCACCTTTCTAGAAGAGAGAAAATATCGTGTTATATCAAACTGTCTCGATACGTATACTACCTTCCATCCGCTTCTAAGTGTCTCATCCTCTTTCGCAATTAATTGTTGGTCAAATCCCACTTCGATGTACTTTATATATGTTTGCCTCTTTCCTGTATCCGGCCCTAGCCGAATTTGCCGGCTTTCGGATTAAAGAATGCCTTGCGGAAAACAGCTAACACTGACGTATATGTTCACCTTGCTCAGTATAACATTGTCAGTTTCAGCCCTCTTTCAATGTTTCAATATTCGATGTTAATCGTACATCTTTTATTGTGCTTGACTCTTTCGTGACAGAATTAAATTCTTCTAGCTCTCTTAGAAATAGAAGTAAGTAAAAATTCTTAGTCCTTTTAGCGCTAGAATACGAGCTAAATACGTAACTTGCGAGGATTATCAGTGGAAAACATATTTCTCTTGCTGATCACGAAAGGGTTAATGTTCAGTCGATGGATCACGGAGGCTTTCGCAATATTTTACTATTATGTCTCACTGTAAGCAACAGATTACCTTGAAACCCTTCCACATAACTCCACCGACTGCAACAAGATAACTAATCCTTATTTATTTATTGAGATCTCGAAAAAATCTTTGCCTTATCGATTTTTGTAATATAGGGTAGCCTGCGGTAAAACGATCAGTCGGAAGAAAATGCCATGCTTCAAAATTACTTGGAGACTTTCTGTAAAAACAAATTTCTAGTATAGTTTTTCAACTGTGAATTTCGACATATCTTAGTTTAACACGTTGCTTGCCTATCTTTACTCTATATTTTACTGTATATATCACAAGAAAGTTCTCATTATCATAAGTGTATAATGATAAAATATATAGCCCTTCTTTTATTATTTTTGATTTTGATAAAATATTGTTTTACATGATTAAAATTATATTCTCAACAATAGTGCATTAAACTGGACTTTTTATTTTACATTGTTATTTACCTATTTATGATTACTTAAAATTTTATATTATTACAGCATTAATTTTCTATAAACGTTTTAAAAACATTCGGTAGCGCCAATCATGGATGCCACTATCGTGGCAGTCAACGTGTTAAGTATATCTAAAAACCTGTAGGTTTCTTCTCTTCGAGATAGCGAGTAGCGAGTAGAGGGATGTAGTGAGTAGTCTCAGGTCAAGTTAATAAAAAAAAATGGCATGTTTCTCTCGTCCTATTCTTTTTCCACGGGTTACCCCCCGGCGACATATTGAAGTTTCATAAAGCCGATTTTGTTCTGCGTAAATGTGATCGGCGGATTTCCAATCTGCGATACTTTTTTTTTATAGATCAAATCTTTCCTTCATGGATCGGATAAAATTTTTATTTGTGAAGGGAAAATGAATATTATCGAATAACGATAAATAAATTCGAGTCCTCACACTCGGACGATCACATTTATCACGTCGTGTTTGGTCGCGCAGCGAGATTACAGTGTGCCAGTGTGCCTGTATGTGTCGCGCATACAACTTTTTGCTGTTAATTAATATACCCACGGCTGTGTAAACCGGTGCGTGTATGTGTACACGCGACGTTGCCCTCTTCATACCGATTCCGATCGAATTTTCAGACAAACGACGCTCTTGGCAGCGCGTACAACTGGATTTACTTTATACCGTTGATCGTCCTTGGATCATTCTTCATGCTGAACTTAGTTCTTGGTGTCTTGAGCGGGTGAGTATGTCCCTCCTGACAACCATTCCGCGGCCCCACCGCCCAGAGAGACAATTTCTGGAGCAACTATTTTCGCGTCACCTGTCCGGCAAGATCGCGAGGTCCTATTCAGAATGATTTTCTTTCCTCGTCAGGGAGTTTTCTAATGAAAGAACGCGCGTCGAACGGCGGGCGGCTTATCGGAAAGCGAAGAGCAAACGACTCTTCACCACTGCGTTCAGTTCCTACTTAAAATGGATCACTCAAGCAGGTCTTCAATTAGCAAACGTTGCCTGATATTAGTGCAATAAACCGTATTCTTTTAGCGTGTTTAGCACATTTGCTGTGATCAAAAATATAAAATTAATCAAATATACGATTAGTTTATAATAATTGGCTAATAATCTTAAATATTATTTATTTCTTTCGTTTGACAACTTTACTTTATTGCTTTTCTTTATTTATAAATTACGGCTGATTTAATCTGTAGTATATATATTACCGTCAAAACCCATAATCGTTAAAACCCGATTTTATTAGTTAAAATTAGTTTTAAATTTAGTTGAAACGAAGTTTATAATTGTACTCACTGTTTCACATGAGTTTTTCGATTTTTCACGCGTAGCAAGGTCCAGCCCTTTCCACTTTTGTTTACGGGACAAAACGAGGGCTAATTGTACTGTCTATATCGATTTTCAATTTTACGTCTAATCATTCTAGTTTTAATTAGTGAATTCGGGTTTTAACGGATTATGGATTTTGACGGTAACATATATACATATTATTAATTTTATACGATTAATATTATATGTAAAATTATATGCTTTTTGATAAAAAAAATTTAAAATTGTACTGTGCTGAATACGATAAGAATACGATGCTATTTCATCAGAAATGTGAATTTTTAGGCTCGTCCATTTAATTAACACTAGATATTTTAAGTATTTGATTAAAAGAAAGTATAACGCGTATATATAAGAAAGTAGTTAATAAATCCATCATAATCCCGCGTATGGTACACGGCTCCTATGATATAGGCTAGTTTGAAGAATTTTTATACGAAGAAGTATCTCTAGCAAAGAAAAAAAAATATCGTTTCTCTTTTAATGCTCCCAACGGCATTCTCCTTAAATGAGTAAATATTGTTGACTTACTAAACAAGTATCGCTAGAATATTAACGGCGGAATGCCAGAAAGTCCTCCGCTAAACTTAGCCTTTATGCTCCTGAGTAAGCTGCCATGTCATCTGTATCACGCTTGTAGAGAATTTGCGAAGGAGAGAGAGAAGGTGGAGAACCGGCAGTCCTTCCTGAAGTTGCGAAGACAGCAGCAGCTTGAGCGTGAACTGAATTGTTACCTCAATTGGATCTGCAAAGCAGGTTAGATTAATCGCCGTAGAAAGAAGCACGTGAATTAAAAAGGATTGAATATAGAAATTCATTTCGCGAACACGCATATGAAATCTCGTAGTTTTCAATAAAGATATTGTAAAACAGATAACATCCCGCGTATAAAATAACGTCTCAAGAGTGAGACCGACGGAAGAAAAAAAATTAATTGTGCAATAAATGTATTTTCTATATTTTACAATTAATCTGATCTATGATTTTGAAGATCAAATAATTAAATCTTTCAAAGACGTATATATATTCTCTTGTCGATCTATTTTAATTCACTTATAAACAGCGTGCCTGCAAAAGTTACAGTTCACTGCGTATGCTAGATTCCACGAATCGCTTCTTTGTACATAAAAATATAATAACGCAATATTAATTACTGCTAAATGCGTAATGTTTACTTTTCAGAGGAGGTGATACTCGCCGAAGAGAGGACCACGGAAGAGGAGAAAATGCACATATTAGAAGGTTAAAAGTCCATATAACGCAACATATATCGATATCATGAATATTTACCTTCCATAAGGTTGAAAAGATTTGCGAAGCGAAAGCTGTATCTCCGAAACGTGCTCGTACATATTTATATAAAGTGCTCCGTGCACTCAGCGCGCACTTTCACTCGTATTTCTTTCGACGCAGTCAAATGGATTTCAATTTTTTTTCTTCGTTAGAGATGCATTGGATATTCTTAGACAAAGCATTTCCACGTCTCGTAATTTTTAATTAACTTTATTAATATAGCTTTAATGGTGTACATGACTATTGGTTTAATTTTTCACTATTTACATGTAACAAGCCTTTTTTCCCAGCGGTACACACATATGTTACATGTAAATTTTAAATAGCGACATTTTATGGAAGTCTAAAAATTGCTACTATATTATACAATCTTTACTTACGAACGATTTTATTTAACCTGAAGAAATATAAATAATTTAATAATATGATTTGTATGCACGTTATTAGACCACAAAACAAAAAAAAACGTTGCAATTACTGTATTTCATAAATACGATTCTTCCGTAATTAATATTAATATTTATATTAATATCAATATTTTTTAAGATTGGATGTGAAATTTACATTTTTTTTCAATAAAAAGTTAATCAGACTGTAATTTATAAAAAAAAGAGTCACGTAGTTTAATCTATCTCTTTGTTTTGCGCAGCGAGAAGAAGAGCAGCGGCAAAGAAGAGGAAACTGAAAAATCTCGGCAAGAGCAAAAGCACCGACACGGAGGAGGAGGAGGGCGAGGACGGCGAGGACGATGGTGAGTTGTATTTGGTCAACCTGGGGTGTCCAGTTGTGCCGAGTATTCTCTTCTTCTTGTTCACCTCTTTTACATTTCGAGTTGATGATTCTTCTCTTCAGAATATTCGAACGAACTTGTGAAAAACGAGACCAAGTTCAAGTAGTGAGGATTTACATGATTTCTTAGTAGTCAGAACCTATGTTATATATATTTATATATATATATATATATATATAAAATATATATAATATATATATATATCAACCAACGATTTCCTCTGAAAACGTAAAGCAATTCAAAAACCAATGAGATTGGGAAAAAAATAAAATTTACGAAAATTAAAATTGTTGGATTATGGTTAGCATTACACTCTTGCGAACCATAAAATTAGCTGAGGATTAAATTTCGTGCTTGGAAAATACAAAAGCTTTGCAATATATTTTTAGAATTCGTATTGGTGCGAAGGAAATCGTTGATTCGTGATTTTGGCCCGCCTTTTCTCTCGTTCTATAAAATTTCTCTCCATTTATTGGCACGTTAGCGTATTTTCACGTTCATCGACGTATTTATTAACACTTTGTGGGTTCATGCCTGATTTATCTTTCGTATATCGAGAGGAAAAGAAAAGAATGACGCTGAAAATTACCTCCCTCTAATTTTTGCCGATGAATATTCTAAACACACGCTATCAGATGCTCCTCTTGTTTCAGTGCCTAAGAAAAAGCTCAAAGGTAACTACAACCGTGAATGCCACGACTTTTCGCAAAGAGCTACGTAAAATAAGGCTGTATCCGTAATCTTACGTAATTGTTTTATTTTTGTATTTTTATTTGAGAGATTTTTTTGTTGGTAATACACACACGTACAAGTAATGTCGTGCGTACATGATCACAAGTACATGATTAGACTTACACGGGCTATATCGCTTGATAAATGAATTACCTTGATGCCTATTCAATTATCACGCTCTATTGCATATTTTTTAAACATGTAAGAATTAATCTTGAAACGTAATTTAATAATTCAATGAACCTAAATATTTTTATTAACAGCCTTAATTCTGGCTCAAAATATTCATTTTTTCGGTATACATATATATTTATTATTTAATTATTATAAAAGAGTACCTGGCAATTGATTGCATAAGCTTTTAAAGAATAATGATTCAAAATTAATTAAATATCTAAATATCTTTTATGCGAAAATGATAATATATTGGGCTGAAGTGCTCATTTGTAAGCTATGTAATTTTAATATCACGCAGAGATTTCAATACATTATACATAATTAAGCATTGCTCTCTGCTCGCACATAAGAGTATAAACTAGCAAAGCATACTCTATACACACCCAGACGAAGTACGATCGTCATATAGCTAGATTACGTATTATTTATCGTATTAAACTCGCAGGCTGTGGTTACTCGTGTTAGAGGATGTAATTATTGCATTCTATGTAATTACTCGGACCGACATGCTGCTGATTTTGTGGCTGATATGTATCACTCGAGATCACGCGGACCTTGCGCGAAAGACAGATTGGAGAACTCGGGAGCTAATTCATTTTTGTTTTTTAGGTATTGCTTCTATTAGCTGGTGTGACGATATATGATAGATTTTCTTTGAGACCGGCAACATTCGCACGAATATTGTTATAAATTTTCTTTCAGACAATCGAATGTAGAAATAATGTATACAATAAATACATACAATATTGTATAAAAAAATAACTATATATATATATATATTTACTGTATATATTATTTTTAGATTCAATTAATTGAATAATTGTACATGTGTATATAATTATTTTTTAAGAAAGATAAATTATTTTTTTATTATCTTGAAATTCTAATCTTTCAATATCAAAAAAATTTTTTTATAATTACGGCACGTAATCTTCCTTTCCCGTGAAATGAATTTTGATAAACGACTACTACTAACGTCATATTAAGTGCCAATGTTTCCGACGAAAGTATTTCTACACGATTTATAGGTGTACCATGTAATGGTGGAAGACTGATTAATGTTTTTATATTATTCACTTGTACGGTTATAATTTTAGCTAGTTAAAGTTGACAGAACAGTAGAATACTTAGTCAAACGAGAAACTGAATCCCCTGAGTAGTGTACAATTCCCGTCCTATAGATTTTAATAGGCTAATCTCAATCTGTCGTCTACACATAGTAATAAGTAGTCACAATACGCATCGCCATATAATAGTCGCTTGGTAGAAATAATTTAGTATAGAATTTTGTGTGTCTATTTTATATCTTATATGTTTCGTTGATCTGAAGGTAAATAAGATTTTCTAACTCTTCCAGTCGATGTATAAAATAATTCTAAAAATATTTGATTTCCTTTTTTGATCGTAATATGAGTTTTTTCCCCAAAACTTCCACAAGAATTTCATAATTTCCTAATCATTATTGCACAATGTTCAAAGAACTTTAATATAGACCATAATTTAGATCATGTAATCTGCGTCCTTGAATTCATAATCGCAAAAATAGCTTAGCAAGTAGTATGAAACGTGAAGACGTAGTCATAGTGTAAAAAAAAAAAAGATTCTTAAGTCGAAGAACAATTATATAATTTACGTTAAAATAAAAGTGCATACGATGCCGTTCTATTTAACAATCGACTGGTCTGTAAAACATGCTCCAAGTGTCCCGATTGTATCTCACGCTGAAGAAGTATTTTATACTTTGTAGGGTTCTCGAGAGCCTCCTACTTCAAGTCGAAGGTGAAGAAGCAGGGCATGTGCCTACAGTTCTGGCGGGCCGAGAAAAGATTCAGGTTTTGGATACGCAATTCCGTCAAGTCGCAGCAGTTCTACTGGTTCGTCATCGTTCTTGTGTTCTTCAACACCATCTGCGTGGCCGTCGAGCATTACGGTCAGCCACCATGGCTCACGTCTTTTCTCTGTGAGTTTCGCAGAATTTCAATTTAATTGCTTCATTTAAATGAGTGCACGTGCACATAGCATTTATACATATAGTAAAAATTTGACTTATAAATCTAGTCTAAAGAATACCTTGACAGTCAACCGGCTGTGGCCTGAAGGATTTCGGCGTAACGAAAACTTATTGTATCTTAAACAGATCAAATCGTCTCTTCGAGAGCTAAAGGAATTCCAGAATTTTTAATCGATCCTTCGTTATTTGCAGACTACGCAGAGTTTGTGTTCCTGGGCCTCTTCATGATGGAGATGTTCATAAAAGTTTACGCGCTCGGCCCTCGCACATACTTCGAATCGAGCTTCAATCGCTTCGACTGCATCGTCATCTCGGGCTCGATCTTCGAGGTGATCTGGTCCGCGTTGAAGTCCGGCTCTTTCGGCCTCTCCGTCCTACGTGCCCTTAGACTCCTGAGAATTTTTAAGGTCACCAAATACTGGAAGAGCCTGAGGAACCTCGTGATATCGCTGCTAAGCTCGATGCGCAGCATCATTTCCCTTCTCTTCCTGCTCTTCCTGTTCATCCTCATATTTGCGCTGCTCGGTATGCAGCTGTTCGGCGGCCAATTCAACTTCAAAGATGGCACGCCGCCCACTAATTTCAACACCTTTCCCATCGCACTACTCACTGTCTTCCAAGTGAGTACAACCAATTGTTATACGTTACAATTTTTATGTATAAATATTTTAGCTAAATATTAAGAGATAATCAATTATTTGCCATTGTAAATTGATTATACTCGATCCTTTGCTTTAGTTGTTCCGAGTGTTTAAAAAGATATAATTGGCGAGAAAAGTATTTGTTTCATAGTCTCGCTAACCTTCGAAGAATAGCCCACACATGCAATTTGTATATATATATATAGTAGAAGTATAATTTGTGTACTTTAGATGCAGTTGGAATCTTACTGAGAGAGTAATTATCTTTTATTAAGAGAGTAGTTATTATAAGAAACTGCACAAAACATTTTCCTAATTTAATTGTCAATAATTATAAAATATAATTATAAAATAATTTTTAAATTGCTCTATTTATATTTTATTAATTTTATTTGATTAATGAATATATACTGTTCTATAAATAATAGAAAAATTACGTGTTCTTTAGACTGAAGAATATTCGGCTGATATAATAATGATAATGATGATGATGCAGATCCTGACTGGAGAAGACTGGAATGAAGTGATGTACAAGGGTATCGAGTCGCAGGGCATGGCTCATTCGCTCTATTTCATCGTGCTGGTGCTCTTTGGCAACTACACCCTGCTGAACGTCTTCTTGGCTATCGCCGTCGACAATCTCGCGAACGCGCAAGAGCTGAGCGCCGCCGAGGAGGAGCAGAAGGAGGAGGACAAGGAGAAACAGATGCAGGAGCTCGAGAAGGAGATCGAGTCGCTGCAGAGGCACGGAGACGGTGGCGCACCGAGAGTGGAAATCTGCCCTCCAAGTCCAACGCAGAATTTGTAGGTTTTCTTTTTCCCTTTTGCCATATGTGTGAAAATTCTTGTCTCTTGACGTTTCGTCCTACTTATAGCAAATATGTAATTTAGAGCGAATTATTACTTTTTTACGATAAATATATTTAAAGATGTTCTGTAGAAGATTCTTTATTTGAAATAATGTACTTTCGCGTATTCTGCGTTCTGCATAGCAGAAACGTTTCGACATGTTGCAATTAAGAATAATTTAAAAGACGCGCTAATAAAATTTGTACAAAATCATCAAACTAGCGAGTTTCTGTCTATGATCTTTGTGTGAGATAGAATAAAGGAAATTTCACAAAAACTTTTCATAATATTGTGACTTTGTACAAATTTTAATTTTGTCAGGACTGTCTGATTAAAACGAAGTGATTATTTATTATTTGTAAGAACAAAGTTATTAGTAATTATTTGTAATTATTTAATGAAAAATTGATAATACATAATATAGATTAAGAAATGTAAAACGCAATATCGACGGAGAGGCACAATGTGGACAACGACCTCTCGTCTTTTCCAGCAGAGACGGAAGAATTGAAACTCAGACGTCCGAAGAGAGGAGGCAGGATGAAAACGACGACACGGGACCAAAACCAATGCTGCCATACTCCTCCATGTTTATATTGTCCCCTACGAATCCGTAAGTGATGATAATAATATTAATCCAGTCGCCCCCTCGGCAATCTTTTCCAAAGAATTAAACATTTTAATAAATGTTAATTAAGTTAATTATATGTTAATTAATAAAATTAGACAGGTGACACTTGCACATAAATTAAAAAGCTCACTAGATAATCGACCGAGTTTTATTAACAATTATGTAAATATTAACGTATTATTTGACATTTACTCTTTTATTTTTTAATGCACTTTAATATGCCATCATATGCATTATTCTTTTTATCTTAAGATCGTTGCTCTCGCCGGAATAACGAGACCTTCTGTTTACAGCATAAGAAGAGCCGCCCACTGGGTCGTGAACCTTCGGTACTTCGACTTCTTTATAATGGTGGTGATATCGTTGTCGAGTATCGCGCTCGCTGCCGAGGATCCCGTTACGGAGAGCGCGCCGAGAAACAAGATCCTCAATTACTTCGATTACGCGTTCACCTGCGTCTTCACCATCGAGATGCTGCTGAAGATCATCGACCTTGGTGTCATACTGCACCCGGGCTCGTATCTGCGCGAGTTCTGGAACATGATGGACGCGGCCGTAGTGATATGCGCCATGGTGTCGTTCGCCTTTGAAATGTCCGGCAGCCAGGCCGGCCAGAACCTCTCGACCATCAAGTCGCTGCGTGTGCTGCGAGTGCTCAGGCCGCTTAAGACAATAAAGCGCGTGCCGAAGCTCAAGGCGGTGTTCGACTGCGTGGTGAACAGTCTCAAGAATGTCATTAACATTCTCATAGTGTACATATTGTTCCAATTCATATTCGCTGTGATCGCGGTACAGTTGTTCAACGGCAAATTCTTCCACTGCACCGACGAGAGCAAGTATACGGAAACGGATTGCCAGTGAGTATATTATCTAATTCGGCCTCTTTTCGCTTCTGTTCTTTTTATTGAGAAAAAGGAGGAATGCACATAAGTATATTAGAGCACCTTAAAATTAATAATAATCGAAGTTAAAATATTTGATTTCAATAAGTACCTATATAAGATACGAATAAATCTCTGTAAGAACGAATGAAGTTTTAAAATTGAAAAAAAAAAAACTTTTGTTACGTATTTATTCTCGAATTATATTTTTACAAATGATGCGAGTAGAAACGGAGACTAATTTCATTTTCGCAACAGCGGTCAATTCTTCGTTTTTGAGGAGGGTAATTTGCTACCGGATCTCAAGGATCGGGAATGGAAATCCCAGTCCTTTCATTACGACAACGTGATGGTGGCCATGCTGACGCTGTTCGCCGTCCAGACCGGCGAAGGCTGGCCGCAGATCTTGCAGAACTCGATGGCGGCCACATACGAGGAGAAGGGCCCCATCCAGAACTTTCGTATCGAAATGTCCATTTTCTACATCGTCTACTTCATCGTCTTTCCATTCTTCTTCGTCAACATCTTCGTGGCCTTGATCATCATTACGTTCCAGGAGCAGGGAGAAGCTGAACTGCAGGACGGTGAAATCGATAAGAATCAGGTAATGTTGTTCGTGTCCCTTATTGCTTCATTCGAATTAATTTTACGTGCGCTTTATACTTTATGAACTGTCTGATACGAAAAGTTAGGAGAATTAAGAGAAACTCTACTCGTCATTATAATCTTAATCCTTTTAAAAATGGAAAACAAGTAAATAATATTATTATACAATACATTTTAATACGATAATTATTTCTACATACATTTTTTTTAATCATAGATTATTTTAAGTATATAAACCTTTGTTGTTTCTTTATTTTAATTTTTATCTTCGTCGCATTTTGGACAATACACGCGATTACGCGAAATCTTATTAGCATTAAAAAATACTGACATTAATAATTCTATGTTAATCTTTCAGAAATCATGTATAGATTTTACAATACAAGCTCGTCCGTTCGAGAGGTATATGCCGAAGGAGCGGAATAGCATTAAGTACAAAATCTGGAAGATAGTCGTATCTACGCTATTCGAATATTGCGTCATGACGCTCATCGTATTGAACACATTATTGCTTATGATGAAGGTAAGTGTCACGATCTCTCTCCTGCACTGCAATTTCTCTAAAGAGATTCGTTAATCAGATTTTCTCCCCGATTAGCTCCGATGTAGGAAACGCGAGGGAAAGAAGGAAGTGTTCTGAAATACGAACCTTCTTACGCGAGTGGTCGAAAACAAAACTTATACGCACCAAGATTCGTAAAAATTTTTTCGAGCATCAAGTGGAAGTGGCTCGAAATAATTTTTGTAAACTTCGTGGCCAGTTTTGCTTTCGATTTCTCAAATCGCGTCTCCAAATCGAAGGAGGCATAAAGGCAAATTATTATCTTTTTCAGAATGAATGGACAGCAGAATGCGTTCTTTATTTTCTTTATTCAATATCAGAATACAATATTTTCGAGTCAGTACAAGAATTTCTGTTCTATATAATACTTGAAAAGATAATAATATAGATTGAAATATTTTGTGACTTAAGAATAAAAATTTGCTTATGCCTCAGTTCTGGTATTGCGATGTATCGCCCTGTTTATCTTAGCGTCCTGCGATACTTGTCGTGCCCAGTTTCAATATCCGCGCGTTCTCTTGACGTTAAGACCCCGTTAGGTTTATCGGCAACTTTAACCAATCGACAAACAGTCTCTTGTTAGAATAACGAAGATACGCGAGATCGTAAAATGAAAATATGTCGCGTTCAAAGCAGAGTACGTAATACCGAATGACTGTACCATATCTATATATCACGTTATATACGTACGAGGACATTGTTGTTCTTGCCTGCTGACCTTTTCTGATCGTTTTCTCTGTATAACTGTATCACCCTTGTATTTTATCAATACGTGTACACACAGCTATGTCGAATTTTATCTTATCCCGTTTCCCGAAAAACTCCCCTAGCAAAACTTCTTCCTCTCGAACGACATAATGTTCGTTTTGATTTCGTTTTCTCTACTTTGTTTCCTGAATTCTAAAATATTTATATTCAATATTTTATATTTTTAATAATTGACAAACGACTAACATATATATTGCTATATCTTTTAACAATTTAATTGAATGAAGTGCACTTCATTTAATTGTTATCCTGCGTTTACTTTAATTAATTCCTCACAATACTGGGTAAATTAGTTCTGCAAATATAAATTAATGATTCCTCTCTCTTGATCTTTAAAATATTACTTTCTATAGAATCCGATTGTCTATTATTAAAATGTATTAATTAATTGTGACTATTCAACAAATATCTAAATACCTGAGGATCACAGCGCGCATTTGAAGAAGTAAAATTAGTAATTTTTTGAAAATTTTGTACATTTTTACATTTCAATTTTTATAGTTTTACAATATTGATTTATTTAGATACTCGTAACATAAATTTTTATTTTCTCATCTTAATACTTTGAAGATTAATAAAGTAAAAATTTCTTTTTAATCGGTTATTTTGCTTTAATTTTACCGTATATTTTTATATAAATTTTTTTTCTTCATTTCGGAATTGATTTCTATTTGATCCCTCATTCCAATTGCATGATTGCCGCTGTGTCCTCGTTTTCAAAGTAGATTTATTCAAGAACGTGCAAAGAAACACGTTTTCGTACATCAGTGTGTAATCCCCACGACATGTACAGACACCAACACAACGTGCGTTCGACTCTTGCATTCGCCTTGATAATACCATATTAAAACTGGTAACGGAGTGAAGCGTTGCACCTCAACTCATCCCCGCTTGACAATTGACTTAGAAAACTAAGGTGGCAAAAGATTGCGCCTTTTCGGCGCTTGTAAGCCCCTGCACGTGAAAATCCACGTGTTGTTTTTGAAGCATTCTTTCTCGTAAGCTGCCTGATTCTTCCTTCTCAATATCTCTCTCACGAAAACACAATAATCACATTTTTTTAAAATAAATTTAATTAAATATTACAATTTAAATTTCAAATTAATTTTACATTTTTTCTACATTTAAGATTAAGTAATTAAATTTTTAACTAAGTGAAAGCAATTGTTAATAAATGTTGCATTTGTTTTTTTATTTTTTTTATAATTTGATATAAATAGAAAAATAGTGTATTTGTTAATTTGCGATGACAAAAATAATCAAAACTTTTAATAAATTTATAATGATTTAATAATTATTAAGAAATTGTTAAAAAAATTGTCCTAATTCAGTAATTACCAATAATTATAAAATAATTTTTATATTGTTCTATTTATATATTGTTTTATTTGATTAATAACAATGGCTGAATGAATTTGAATGTTAGATATATATAAACCAAGTTATAAACCAAGAATTTATTCCTTGAATTTTAACTGATTTATTAATTTTTTTTCAACTGCTAGTAATTAGATATCGTTATAAATCACATCATAAATCGCACTGTTTTTTTTTTTGCGAAACTTTATCTTTGAGTCACTCTGTTTATTCATCATTGTTAGAATAGAATGTGAAACGACGAGAGAGAATTAATTGGATTCGTGCTTTTAGTTTTGAGCCGAGTCCTGTATTCTAACTCTGAGTTTGTTTGCTTTCCTATGACTTTCCTATGACAGTTGAACGCACGAGATAAATATCTACCCTTGTTTCTCTATCCCTCTCTAAACGAGATCACAGCCTGAGCCTGAAATTAGAGCCAATGAATTAGAGACACACACATACACATTACGCTAATTCGAATATGCAACGCCCGATTATATGATTTGTGGTCGGACTTGTTTGCCTGAGAAAAAAAGAAACACAGAATGTCCAGATTACTTGCACACGCACTGCACCTGGTCTTGAGAACACGTATTCAAATGAAACACGATGAGTTCACGTTGCTCGGCACGCTTGCACACAAGCGAGGAGACAACATATTTTGTTATTGCGCTGCAAAAACGATCTGCATAATTCTGAAATTTTTCGAAGGAAGAAAAATTCGTGAAAGAGAAAATAACAGCATAAAATTAATAAAAGTAGAATTACGCGAATATGATTTGTATTTTATGTGAAAATATTCGCGTCAGTATCTCGTGGGATAATTAACGAAAATAATTATCAATATTTTGTGATTTATAATTAAAAGGAATTTATTTAGTTTATCTCTAAATGTACGATGTTTCACTTGGAAATCACAAAATTAATCATTTTAATCTCTCAGATATATAATTAATTAATTATTATGGAAAAATAGAATCAAATTATAATCGACTCGATACTGGATTATAACTGATTGTCTTCTCGCTCGACACAGCGGCGGCTGATGTATGTACATATGTATATACATATAGGGTGTTCACCCGCACTTCTCATACACGTGCAAAACTGCGTGTCGCATGCCGGCTGTCGCCGAAACAGATCGACAAAATTAGAAGCTGAACGAAACAGCGACAACATTAGATATATCCGCTGAATGTGTGTGTGTTTTACAGTGACAAGGAACACACTCTGCACGGGACGTTCGCACGTTTCACCCTCTCCTCTTCCTCCTCTCCCCTATAAAGAAAAGGAAGATTGCAAAGAGGTCTGAGCACTTCGAAAAATTAAGTTTCGTAATTCCTGACGATCCCTTCGTTAATTGAACTGTACTCTTTTCGTTTTCCGGAAATCCATTCACTTTAAGTGTCTTTGTTCGATTGTTTTTTACGTTTCTCTCTCTCTCTCTCTTTCTTTCTTTTTTTTTGTCATAGTCTTTATCGGTTTTGCGACTAGTTTCTTAAAACACTGACTCGCGTATGTCCAATCTATAGTCCACGACTCTGTGGGAAACAATGGCAGAAAGAAGGATATTTAATTGACACCCTTTTAATGATGAGTTTAAATTTCACTTAACATTTGCATTAATGTCGCGTTTTAATTTTTTTCCTTACGTTCTAATTTCAACTTAGATTTTACTTTAATTTCAAATTTCTCACAGCTACAAGTGAAATGTATTGTTTAGATTTGCGTACATTTAAATGCGTCTCTCATTTCTTATCGCTAAAATTTTTACAACATGTAACACGGGAAGAAGCTTGCCTTGAAAACTTCCTCTTGTGTTACACTGGACGATTCTTTTTTTTTCTTGTCGTTGCGTCCGACGGAGTCCACCATTCAGAAAATTCCCGATATACAAATCCATTGATCCAGAAAACCAGTCGATCATCAGTTCTGTCAGTACACGCCCGATATATCTTTCATAGCACCGTTAACAGATCGATAAAAAGAAATACAATACAACGCGAAAGTGCGGGTAACGGTACTGGTTGTATCCACGTACACATATAGAGTATGACATACGCACCACACTCGTCGCAAGACGAATTGATATCGCAGGAATGTAAGAGAACAAACGTTTCATTTAATATACACGTATACCGATTAGGCTAGTACACGTATAGGTTTCGACCGACGATAAGAAAATGTCCCCCCCCCCCCACCCTCTCTCTACATTTGACGAATATATTAGGCGTACATCACTACGTTTTTACATATATACGTAATTTTGCATATATATCTCGCACTTTATCTTACACGCCGTATGTGCGACTAAACTGTGTACCAATTCGTGACACCAAGAAAGCTGACACGCGACATGACCCGCGAATCATTTTCGAGCATAATGATTTATTTGGAATTTTGTTTCACTTTTTTTATTCTTACCTCGAAAAGCTTGACATTATTTGGCATTATTCTGTATACTTGATGCAATTTTTACAGCGCTATGCGAATAAAACAGCATGAAAGGGGGTGACGACGCTTCAGCAGGATTAATTTTACGTAAAATGTTAATTAAATATAAAATATATTTCGTGCAAAGCGTTTATCGTCGTAGATATCGTTGAGCAGTTAAAATTCTTTATATATTATGTTCGTGTATAAAATTATTCGCGTTTTTAAACACTAATTATAAGTTGATTCTACTAAACGTGCGGTTTTACCAAAATTTAATCAAACAAGAGAAACTACTAAACCAATTTTATTTAATTTTATTTAATATATTTTACGGTTGCACAGTAATATACTTCATTTTGTTTTCAAGGCAATGCTTAATCCTGCTGGTGCAGTTACCCCGTTTTACGATATATATTGTGCAGCACAGAATGTTCATGTATCGGTGCACAGAATTTCGTGGGAAAAAAAAAGATTAAATCAGAGAGCCGCTTCTTCCTTCCTCACTCACGATGGTCGGAGGAGGGAAGAGGGTCGTGCCCCAAAAGAAAGCAATTAAAGGTCTCGTCTCACGCGAGACACGCGATTTAGGCTTGTAAGTACGTACGTATGTCTGTCTGTCCGGCCGTGTGTTTGTCAGTGTATGCATTGCAGTACCATGACCAAAAGGAATCGTACAAGAACACGCTGAAGTACATGAACATGTGCTTCACGGGGATGTTCACTATCGAGTGCATAATGAAGATCGCAGCATTCGGCGTGAAGGTAGGCTCCACATACCGCCAAACATCCTTCTCTCATCAAACTCTCAATACTATTTTGAGTAAAGCGAGATTTAATTCGAGACTCTCGCTAAATCGAGTCATGCGAAAGGTGACTCCTCCGGATCGTTCCCCAAAATCGGAAACCTAAAGAAATCCACGAATCTCTCGTCGAAAAAATTCGACTTATTGTCGAGATAATTCATAAACATCGAAAAAATTTGGTGTATTTTGTACGTTAATTTATCAAAAAAAAGAAAAAAATCAGAAAAATTTCCTAAAACGATACAAAGCGAGAATAATATAGATTGCTGTAACGATTTTAGTGATGATGAAAAGCGAGGGAACATCGTGAGAGGAGTTGCTTTTCGCGTCGCCCGGTAAGTGCCGCTTATTAGAAAATAATTAGAAAGCGGTTCTTCGCGAGTACCGATGTAGCAATACGTCGTATCGGAACACTTTCGGTACTCCGGAGACATCCGTATATACATATACTCTCTATCTCACGCGTGTATACCTCTACAAGTACATAGAGTATACTATTTAGTGAACTTTCTGTGCGCAGGGCTGAACAAGCGCTAGATGCTGTCGGAGTAGTTGTAGCGTTTCCATTTCTCGATATACCTTCGTACGAATATTATAGATATGTATCTCGATAGAAACTAGAAATGGTATTTTTCGATGGTGCTCCTCTGTGCAAGGATATAGCTGCAAGATTTAGATAGAAATCTTCTTTTTTTTATTACTTGTACTCGTTGTTCTGTACTTTAAGATCGTATCAACAAGATAAACTCTACAAGTACTTTAGTAATGCAAAAAAAAATGCTCAGCTCTGTACACGTGATCGAGCTTCAGGGCAATTTGGGAAGACTCATGATGTAAATACATTTAATATATTTGAACTCCTTTATTCCTTTTTCCGAATCTGAATTTCTCTCTGAAATAATCGATATAAAAAGGAAAAATATAATATCTTTATTAGTTTTTAGATCGTTTGTTTTTGCACCATCCATTATCCATTTAGTATAACTTTACATTTGTCTTGACTTTCAAAATACATTTTTTTAATAGCTCTTTATTTAATACGGAGATCATAATTAATTAAACACAATATAATATAATTGTATCAGAGTCTTATTATTTTTACAAAAACAAATTAATTTGGTACGAAATGTATTTATTGCTTATAAATAAATGCTATAAGCAGAGACAATGCAAAAATCTTCCCAGGTTTCCTATAATCATAATTACACTCAACACAATGATAACGGGATTAAATCAATTGTAAATTTAGTATTGCATTCTTTATTTCTGTTAAATTTTGTTTTTACGGTTAACTTATTCTTTTTTTTATCTCGTTACAACAAGCTTATTACACTGACTTTATATTAAACCAAAAAAATTCGGACTATGCTACGATTGGATATTTGCGAAATATTGGTATCTATCGATTTACACATACATACACGCGCGCATGTACACATACAAATACAACAAGTATTCGATCGTAGTATTAAATATTTTCAAGTAAGTCTCCACGAAAATTTAATGTTTTGTATGATTTTTATTACAGTTTTATATCTCATGAAAGATGTGTAATAAGGCTTATAACTTATTGATAAATACGCTCTATATAATTTAATACACACTAACACACACAGTCAACAATTACACTTACAAATACATACAGACATAAAGATTCACACATTACACATTTTCATATGGCACTCATAGATACTCAAACATGACGAATTAAGAATATAAATCTCACATCGGGTTATTTTCAGTTTTATTTGTTTTTCTTGCTTCTTCTGCCTATTTATTTCTTCTTCTTACTCTTCTCTTTTATTTTCTCTCTCTCTCTCTCTTGTCTCTCTCTCTCTCTCTCTCTC